CGAATAATTTTTGTTCAAAGCCAGTGTCGGATTCCGTTCTGTTGAAGGCAACTGCGAAGACGCAATAATGTGAACGAAGCAATATAAAAAGTACATCAACGAGGGGCTGGTTATCATCATAGGTGGGTTCAAACTCCGAGGAGGGATCAAAAGTGAAGCGGCTGAGAGTCGCATCACGCGAAGACCACAAATATCATTTTCACACAGCGTTCGAGATCAACTCTCGATGTTCAGACAATGTTACACATTGCTCTGACGCTTCGCGGGACCAACTCTTCGTGTACTCTTTAGTACTTAGTTGCTTTTTAGTACAACAAAGAGAATGTTACAATAGGCATACCGGGTAAATCAGTAAGACGATTACACTGCAGCCGAGACCACGCTGCACTAACATATCGAGGATCCGCATATTACAGAATTCGTTTCAGTGTTGTCCACATAACATCAAGATGTTCCGATTTCAATATGTCATACGCCACAACTGTGTCAACATGGTTGACGCATCCGGTTCCGGAATTGCCTGTCACTGTGGCCTCCATAGGCTAGTCATAGGACTTCTGCGCCTACTGCGGGACCATGGGTGGCTTGCGTTGCATCATCCACAGCTCCATCCTCACACCCTATATCCAGTGTAAACTCAAAGGAATGAGACCGGGAGGCATGTAGATGGGAGTCAATTTGCATCGACGGAGTCAGCCCACACTTCTTCACAGGCAAACACAAGAACGCTGTGTTTGGGGAATCAAGCGCATACAAAGCGATGGCTGGAATGCGGTCCGTTCCACACACAAGCCATATGCATAGGATTACTCTTCGATATAAACACCATGATAGCCACTTTGAACAGCATTTTCAATTTCAGAATTCAGAGGTGGAGTGCACCACGCCGCCCGTGTGGATTGACAACTCCTTGCTATAGATTTCAACTGTTTTCACTCGCGACCTTATTGATGGCAGTTTCACAAGTTCAGTTATAGCCCTGCGAACAGCCTTCCACTGCGATAACACTGAATATCAGATGGGCAGCTGAGATATTGGTTTCCTCCCCGAGCGCAGAAATGCGGCTGCAGACTTCGCAAAATCAGTCGCCTTGGCATCTTCAGTGCATAATAGTGAAATGTCCATTTGATGTGACAGTTTCAGATTGATGTTTTCCCCTTTTCAGATCTATAAGCATAAGTCTTTTTCGAGTATACTACAGCTCCAGCTAACTCGTGATGCTGCGACTGATAAGCAGAAACTGGGTTTCAGGTAGCACAGGCAAAAACCGGCACTAGAATAACATCACTGCGGTATTTTAATAGGTGGTCTTAACTTAGCACTTGGCCTCCGTGAGTTGGATGTAGTAGCAAAAAATGACTACTAAAGGGGAATTTGCCCGAATCTACCCAACCAACTTCATGATAGGGTAAAATTAAAATGACTGGTTGGAGTCAGCAGGAGAGAGGAGCTAGTGACAGTGGTCCAAAGTTGTTTGGATCAGCTGACGATGCGCAGCCTTTGGCACCCGGAGCCAGAAAGCAAGTAGACCAACTGATGCTTTGGTGGAAAGACACAAAGAAGACATATACGCAACACCAGCATTACGAAAGGTGAAATGGTTGCCGTTGTTTTCAATGCAATCGCGTCCGTTTTTTGGCTAGATAGTGCACAAACAAAATCTCTTATTAGTATACATTCGACAATTAAGAGTAGGCTGTGAGCGCCAACCCATGAAATAACTACTGACTGGATGTCACTTAGCAACAGATGCTTTCATCACAAAATAGGATCGCCGAATTCCTATAAATCGCCCATCCTTCCAAGTGTGGAAGGTTGGAAAGAAGCAGGTAAAGGTGACACGAGCACAGTGATTACAAGTCAAAATAGGGAAAGCACATCAACCAGCTGACGTTCGTCTGTAATGGATGGAACAAGGATCTAAAACGCATCACGTTCAAATACTTCCGCGGCCGGTCGTGAAACCTTAAACCATTAAAGTAATCCCTCCGAAAGATTTATAATCTTGCCGCAGTTCCTGTGCCATAAAACACTGAGCAAGCGATCAGTAAGCTACTGTATCTGTCCTGATAAAACAGTGAAGCATACGAAACAGAGTAATTTGCAAAAGTCTGTAAAATATGCTCATGCACAGAACTGGTGGCTCGGCCAGCGTAAAACTATGTGAATACTAGGTTGGGGCTGGTGTCAACGCTGTGATTCCAAGGGGGTTGAAAAAAGTCATAAGTCTGCCAAACAAGTGCATGTTTGGAACAAATTTTGTACGGATGGGGTTTGACAGGAATCATAGGGGCAATGACAGATCAGTTCTTTGTTCGACAAACTGTCAAAGTGACGGAGCACCACACTGGTTGGTACATATACCAACAGCAGTCCAAATGACTCATGAGTGCTAAGGAAGATGAACAGGTGGAATTTGCTAATGGAAAGCTCTTGCCCAGCCCGCTGTAGAAGGCAATTAGAAAAATTATGGGTAGCTGCTTCTTTGTCGGTGTATACGGCACTAGACGATCGAACTACTGCAAGGAGCTGCAGTAGATGTCGTCGACTCACAGGTTCGTTAGCAAGCTGTCTCACAGCTGTCAGGTAAGCTCGATTTCACCAGTCCATTGAACTTCTATATGCTCAGTTAAATGGGTAGTCAGAAGACCGTGGCAATCCTTAGCAAGGACGGGGTCAATGCATATTCCACGTGAAAAGCTCACGCCTCCAGTGTTACTTTGGAAAAGTAATTGCGCTGCCCTAGTTTGTGTTAGATATGTTGTATGTTTGTCCAAGTGATCAATAGCCGAATAGGAGCTACTTTACTATACCGAAATTTTGTGATCAAAAAGGGAAAAAGTTCACTACTTGAAGTAAACTAACCTCTTAGCTGTGCAATGGAATAGTGAAAACTTAGTAGGTTCTGTGCGTAACATTCGAAAGGAAATATCGCGATTTAGATTTGGTAGCTGCATCTTTCGATGCGAATATCCAGAGTACTCTGTTATCTGTCAACGAAATAAAGACCACTTCAGCGAGACCTTAGACAAGTGGGATACAGTTAAAAGAAAGCAGACCCAGAACATCATACATTGATGTCACACGTTAGCGAGTGGTGCGAAAGTTTCAGCTCCTATGTCCCAATGTGCACAACCTTTCTTCAACACAACAAAGAAAGCCAAGACATCAAAACACATATTTTTGTCCGAGCTAATGCACAATTATATTTCGCCCTAGTATGCAACTGCTTTGCCTTCTAATACTGGGATGTATACTGGTTTAGATGGAATATTTCTGAAGAACTGGCCTATCTTTATTTGCGTTTACTTATCTTTTCATACTTATCCTACATGAGGAGACTAACCACCTTTGTATAACTAATTTTTTAACTAATTATCCTGGCCTTTTATTGTATGTCCTTTTTAATGACGCGTTTTTGGATTATTGCGCCTTATCTCTCTTTAATCTTTAGAAACACGGGACCACTATAGATTTGGCCAGCCTTTGTTCTACCCTGCGATTTTTTTACTGCCCCAGGTTTTTACGATTTCCGACATTTTACAAAACTTTCCTTATCCTATGTCTTCTTCTGCTCCGATCAACCGAGTATTTTTGAAATTGCGTTTCTGTAGTTTGTTTGTATATATGTATGTATATATGTGTATATGTATATGTATGTATATATATATATATTCCTCATCCATAACTTGCATTCATCATTCTTAATGTGTTCACCCATCTTACGCTCTTGAATAATTTCGTTCACTTAAGTAACTTTTGACTCTGGAGCATTCCGTTCACAAGTGTAAACACAAACGGAAAAATCTGGTTTGTTTGCCGGTATGTTTGCTTCACCACCGTGTGGTGTTCATGTGCGCAGTGGTAGGGAGTTGTTTGCCTGAATCTAGTAGTGCTGTCGAATGTACGTCGGAAAATATTTAGGTAACAGCTTCCTTCTTGAACTAAAGTGCTGGAAGCCACTGGGTAAAGTTATATTCCATGTTTTCCGCCCACTGACTTCACAATTGACGCTTATGCTCATCTGGATCAAAGAGATTATGATTGCCATCAGCCTTCAGCGATCAAGATTTACTACCAATTCACTATATAACTCATATTAACCTGTATTTTAATCGCTATTATAGCAGAAACGTGTCTACTACAGGTGTGTGTGGTAAAATTACCTGCATCTCAAATGAATTTCATACAAAATTTGGGGGCAAAAAGCCAGCCAATTTTCACACCTTGCAATCGAAACTGTGGACTTCCTATTCGCATTCGGATGTAAACTCTTTTGGTCTCAATCAAACGCATACTGGACGATTCGGAGCGGTTCATTATTAGTAATAGGCTGGACCCTTTGTCAACTCAAATAACGTGTCACAACACTACTCACGAAAACATGAGATATTATCTCCGGATTACTGCCAACGCGTATGGTACAGTGTGGCACAGCACGGATCATTCCTCCCTAGCTCTCTTGAGCGTTGCTGACATGTGATAGACAGGTTCGATCCTAAAATGTGCACGCATGAAGCGTGCCGAATTTCAGCGTATGGTGATGTAAGCTAAGTGGAAGCAAGCACCGTTTACGAGTGAGCAATATTAGGGTCTGAATTGTTTTACCATGATTAGTGATGTTTAGCGGTTGTGTGAAAGGATTCATTTTCAGTGTTGCAGTGAATAACACTATGGACATTAAAATTGACAAAATCACATTCATGGTGAACAAACATATCATATGCTGGACCGATACTTCGAAGTGGAAGGACCGACATCAACATTAGATGCAACGACGGAGAGAAAAAAAATGCAATTAATAGTGCAATTTAATATTCTGATTGGTTGTACCATAGGCTTTCGGATCGCACAACATCTCTGAAACTTTTAATAGCTGTACCATCAGAACTGCGGAAACGTCATGATGTGCCTCGCTGATCTTATTCCTGACCTCACATTTTACGGTTACTTAATTTACTATTGTCTACAGTACACTTAGCTCCCTTGTGTTTTTCTAGGTCGCTTTTGTGGACAGCAACTTCCCGGACCTATTCTGTCCACTGGCGCTCGTCTATGGATCGAATATCGCCGTTCTGCCGGTAGTCTGAGCACTGGATTTATAGCCGATTACGAAGGTCAGTTGTTGCTATGTTGAGAAAAAGTCCGTTTTGACTGCAGCTTCATACACTTCGATTATTGTAACCTTTTTCACTGTGCTTGATTAATGCAGTCGGATGGCACAAGTTGACACAATACTTCATTTTTTGTGTTTGTGTGAACATCCAGGGCAAGCTTCGCAGTTTCTGAACCTGCATACCATTTGGCTGTGTATTAATTAGGGATTGTGTGTACATTTCTGGACGGTGGAACCACCTTACTTATTCACGCTCACTAGTTCGTTACTTTAAATGTTGACCAGTTGGTAATGCTAGGTCTTATGTCAACCGAAATGTCAAAACTACAGTGTTCGGGTTCGTTATAACTCCTAAATAGTCCAAATTTTTGATTTCAATAGATCTTCAAGCCAGTGTTTTATCATTGTTGACTGAAAAGATCTACAGAGAAGCACACTTAAATTATTGGCTTACGGTCTGCGAAGTGTGATCTATCAGTGACGCCGACGGTTAGCTCGGTCTCCTCCGCGAGGCCCCCTGCTGTGAGTCCTTCAATTGGGGATAATGCCAAGAAAAAAGAGGACAAAGAATACTGCAAAGCACAAGCTCGTAAACATCCCTAGCTGTGGCCGACAAACACATGTGCACACAAATTCGAAGTGCTGTCACAGTTGCGTCGCACTTAAAAATGAAATGAATGCGAGTGTAGCACCGTAGCATATTCTTTCACTCTTCGTCCTCCTCAGACATTACAACTTGTGGGTTTTTCCGTCCGACTATCTGTCAGTTGTCGCCATGAATACGAACATACTGTAGAGAAGTAGAAGATTTAAGCAAAGTTTATGCGTAAATAGCAAAAGTTAGCATAGAAAAGTTGCGCAACAAGCAAGGCGTTATAATAATTATCCACTTCTTTTTTATTTGATAAAGCGATTTGCGGCGGACAGTTGCAAATGGAGGAAGGCACTCTGACCAGTCCAAACTATCCGGAGTTTTACAGGTCAAGCAAAGAATGTGTATGGCAAATTATTGTTCCCGTGGGGTATTCCGTAGCGCTCAGCTTCCATTCATTCCAGGTTGGTGAGATGTTATTCAGTAGTATGTCACTTGCTTTCGCAGTAAACACTTCTGTTAAAACCATTACATCAACGTCTGTTGGTATGTGCTATATTGCTCCTATCTACGTATAGTTCACGAAGGCGAGAATTTATTCTTAACTGACTCAATCCTCTTCAAAATGTCTATTCTATGCAGTCTTCGGCCTTACTTAAGCAAATTTGGTCGCAGTTAGTGCGTCAGCAATAGTCCAAAAAATTTAAAATCTCATATAAGGTTAATAAAATTCCCAAAGTACGATCAGTTACGGGGCGCGTCAATTATGGTTATATAGTTTCCGACAGGTTCTGCATTACCCAAGGATTTGAGCACATTAAGGAAAAATAGTAACAAACTATTAATAAACGCAAAAGTTACGACACTTCAGGAGTGATGAACATACAAATAACCAACGGCTTTATGTTCATGGCAATATTCAGTGAAATATGAAGTAGTCGTTTATTAGGAGTGACGAAGTTTTCAGAATCCCGGTTAGCAATTATGGTTACATTTGACTATGATGCTGAAATATCAGCCGCGTAGATGCAACTAATGTTAAACGCTCCCTCATATCAAATCCTTGCATCTTACACCGCAGCGAACAGGTTTCTGACTTCAAGTTTGCTGTGATTTTCGGTTTATTGCCGTTGAGTGTACTGCAGTCTTTCGCTGCGTTGTTTACCGACAGTCTGTGTTGAATGTTGCGTGGAGAAGCCTTGAGGTGACCACTCGACAAAATGCAAAACAGGCGGTAAAAACAGTGGAGGAACTGGCACAGATGTTGTGCTAACTTCTCCACTGAAAGTCTCAGATCGATCGTATCTGTAAGCAGATACTCTGTCTACTGACGTGAATTTATTGATGGTCGAGAAACCAGTAACCACGAGTGAAGACTCACTGTTACGCATAGTTTCTCTCGGTATAGGACTTCCTGGAGCTCTTTGGTAGCTGAAAAGTTACCCTTTCTGGGCGCATGAATCGCACTTTTAGCTTTAAAGTATTGTTCATTGAACTACAGTTCTGATATGCCATCTGGTAATTTATACTGCTTCGTCGTTTGTCTACTGATGTATGGTTTCTATTTCGGTCTAGTTCCTGAGTATATGTCATATTATCGAGGTGGACTAATTTGGCGCTATGTATCGCACTACGGCGTGTACATATGTTTCTGCTCGTAAAGTCACAATGCACTAGAATCCACGCACAACAACCTAATTGAACAGATGCAATAGCTGTTGTAAACCTTTTAGGATAGTCGCTATGTTGTACATTCAATCAGTTCCACCTGTTGCGCCCAAATCTGCTGACAATGTTCATTTCTCAGTCCTTGAGCCTAACGATGACAAATGGGAATACGTTATAAAGTGTAAACCAGGTTGGTTGCAATCAGACAGCTGTGCTTTGTTGAGTAGAAATGTGAACATGAAGTTCGTAGTCCCATGAACAGACAAATACACACCAATTCATACGCATTTGTAGGAGAATTATGAATCAAAGCGTAATTTCAATGTTAAATGCAATTTAGTCAAATCAAATTACGTGTATTTCAATCACATATTTTTGTCACTGTTTTAAACTGAAAACGTTTTATGAATAAGGGAACTAATTTAGAACGCTGGAAGGTTTTCACTAATTGGCAATCGTCCTCAACAACAGGCAACGTTTGATCGCTGCAAATCAAATCGCACTAGTTTACTGCAAAATTTTAAATAACAGGAGAAGTAGCGCGTCGCATGGCAATAAACAGGATGCAAGACTGCTTGCCATAGAAACCAGTATCTCCTAAAATCCACATTACATAACCGTTTATACCGACGCAATATAACATGACGCGTGCTTGATGATACGAGCAGGAACAGAGCATTGTGCCAGATTTTAGAGTTGGTTAGCAAAGCTTCGATATATAGCAATCGAGTTATTCCAGTAAGGGCTCTTCAACTATTTTTACACTTGCGGTAGTTTCGATTTTGTCATATTCCTTCAAAATATCGACTTGAAAATATGATCTACCGACATTATTCAAATCGGGAGTTTTGCATGTGCTCAGAAATTACACAACACGCAGGACGTGTTGGTTGAGAAACCTCAAAGTCGGCACTATTCCGTCACTCAACCGATTTTTATTTACAGTTGCTATAATTACGATAATGGTTTGTTCTGATACCTAGGAACCTAAGACCTTTGCTCTTTTCTATTTTCGCGCCGTGCAAAGTAATGTTCCCTTTTGGATTAAAAATAGTTATACTCGCAAACTTGAAAAGTTGACAACTTCGACAAATGAATGGTCCGCCGATTCTATGAAGGCCTACTTTTGTTATGAAAACGAAATACCTGAAAATACAATTAGAGTTGGAAAACTGCTCATGTCAGGGGGCTCCTAGAGCAAGAGCAAAATAGATTGCTTGGATTCAGTCAATGACGTATTCGATGAAAGTCCCTTAAAAAAGGAAAATAGAAATTAAATCACTGTCAGCAAGATATAATACAAGTTTAATGGTATATGATTTTCTTGCAATAAATAGGGTCTGTATTAGAATCAAGAAGTATTTATACTTTTGTAGCTGCTCAATTCCCGCAAGTAAAGAGAGAGATATTTGCACCCTATTTCTCCACTGGAAAGTTTGAGCATTATGCGTTCAACCTTGTGCCAGTTGTTTACATGCTTTTAATCACAGCGATTTCATGCCAAACGTTAACTTTAAGCCCTTAACTTGCACAACAACTCTATACCATTTAGTTAGAGAAGCACGATACATGTGTGTACGACTACTTGGAAATAAGAGATGGTTTAACAGAATCTGCTCAACTTATGAAAAAACTTTGCGGCTCTCAGTTACCACCTCCAATCAAATCTACCAACAACGTGATGTTCGTCAAATTCGTATCTGACAGCTCTGTGGAAAAACAAGGATTCACGGCAACCTTCCAAAAGGGTAAGTGAAATTGACTGCTGGATCATATCAGCAGTTTATATTCTCGCATAATGCTGCGCATGCAGATTTACAGTTAAGTTACTTCTTTGAATCTTACCAACCCATTATGTCGTTCTATCATACTGAAAGAATGGACTGTGGGTATGAGAAACTTGCTGGTCGGTCTTGTGGAGTATTTGTGCTATGAGACCTTGATATAATCGAAAGTTGTAAGTTGCAGCAGATGAAGTGAAACAAACGGAAAGTACACGAATGTGGTAATACCAATCAAAAGCACTGTACCCGAAGACCGATTTCGTGCTTGTTTACGCTCCGAGGTACCGAAAGGAGGACTGCGACTTGAACCCTGGATCTACGCCAACTATATGCACCGACGATGCTTGTCACAACGGTCAAGGACCCATTGAGGGGTTAACTTAAAGTACTCTTTGAGCGGAGTAACTGGACGCGCAGATTTAATCAGAACTGTGTTATGCACCTTGACGTAAACCGCAGTCAATTTCATCACTGAAGCCGACGATCTTTAGTTGTGGTAATTCATTAACTGAACGATGCCTTCAAAATGACCTAATAAAAAGCACAGTTTGGTTACCGATAAAAATGTCATATAAACGTTGTGCTATAGTTTTGTAAATAAGAATCTGACAATGTCCCTCTGTTTTCCAGTACGGGAAATGCTACCATATCTGGTTTCACTTGGGGCATGCTTCGATAGTCGTTGGTATTCCGTAAATATGATCAACTTCAACTACTGGCAAAAAGTTAGTAGTAATTATGGCACCACTACCAGCCTTGGCGAGTGAACACTAGTTTAAGGTTCTAAAATGCCAGCATGCGAAATTAGACAAATATTATAGAAAGGTAGAAGGCAACTCACACAAAAGATTGTGGCAGTCTATTCTAACATTAATATGTTGGTTTTAAGTAGTAAGCTGACCGAAAATACTGTAGTCTTGAGCGTGTAAACGCCTGTTAACTTGAAGCCTGACTTCAGATGAGTGTAGTAGTATCAAGCGAAATCGATCGATGACTGGCGTTTTTGGTCACAACATAGTCTTTTCTAAAATTACTTAGTAATATATATATATATATATATATATATATATATATATATATATATATATATATATATATATATATATATACCGTAATCACAGTAGTAACGGGTAAAATCATGTGAATTCTCTACGTAAACTTATTGCCAAAGGTAGACTCTGGGGGTGAATACGGTTTAACTTACTCACCGTGGAGTTTTCAGCCGCTGTGCCAAAGTGTATTATTAGTGCCAGTTTAAAGTTGCAATATGCAGTGTCTTTTTAGAAAATATCTGACGCTGTTCTATATTTTCTCCGACGGACTTAACCTTTTAATAGCTGTCTCAATCTTACAGAAATATTTTTTGACCCGAAGTGGGTTGATTTTATTACGGCGAATGGAAATGGATAGTTGGCTTACAAACGGATTTGAGATAGTTTCCTCCTGAGTGAACCAAATGAGAACGTGCAGATGGTAAAAATATAATTAGCACACATTAATCCTGGCACAATGAGCGAGTTTAAGCAGTTTCAGGGGATCCTCTTTCATCCCATAGTAGGGACAATTTTTTGTGATGTTTAATTTAGGAGAGGTGCATATAACTGACATTACTCTTCATTAAACTACTGTCCAGAAGATAAAGTGAATCATTTATCTGATGTAATAACGAGAAGAATGAAGATCTATATCAGTATGTTTATGAGGTAGCTCTCCTACTTTTTTAACTTCAATATAATGATCTCATGGAGCCGTTTGTTAGTCAACTGCCTCGGTGATCACATATTTACTCGCACTCTTTGCTCAGAACAACATCAGCAATATAAGAGCGCAGGACGAAAATTTCCCGTAGAATACTACTCCATGTAGTGTTCGGTGTACTGGTTTGAATGTCTTTCTCTCTTTGACTACGACTGATGGGCCAACTTTATAAACAAAATTACATGACTACTGAGCATATTCCCCAAATGAGTAACTTGGTATGGACGAGGTAGTGGGTAATAGACAGGTAGGCACCTTGTCAACATACACATCAAGCGCAACCACACCGGGGATATCACACAACAGCCAATCACTTGAAACGACAAAATGAAATAAAATAAATCCAACAATGCTTATAGTTATGGTGGCATAACTCTTCGCTAAATTAGCATATGAAGTAAGTTGGTTATCAATGAATCCGCGATAAGGAAAAAATGTCCACAGGTTACTCGAAAATTCTACAAATGCAACAAAATTGCCGAAGATAAGTGCAATTAGGGTAAGCAACGTGGCCAGCTAATACAAGACTATTCAGATAGGCAAAACTGACCAAATAAAGTAGAATGAAATTTATGCAGCTTAAAGAGACCTAGTTTAAGTGTAAGTTGGTTTAGCCCAACTGCGGTGCAGAAGCATCAAGAATGCAACATCAGCCTCAGCATAAGGCACACATACATACATGGTTGGCAGCGTCCGGTTTCGGATTTGCCTGTCACTGTGGCCAGCCACAGGACGCCTGCGCCTACACAGGGACCATGGGTGGCTTGCCCTGCACCACCCATAGTTCCAACCACACACCCCATATCCAGTGTAAACCCGAAGGAATAAGACCGAGAGGCATGTGGATGCGAGCCACGTTTTATCAACGGAGCCGGCCCACACTCCTTTACAGGCAAACACAAGCACATTGTATTTGGGGAATCAAACGCACACAAGGCGGTGGCTGAACCGTAGTCCGCTCCACACTGATTGCATGGAACCACTCTTCGAGCGTAGCACGACCAAAAGGACTGTGCACCCCGTCCCCTCCAGCAACGACCAACTGTCTCCTGGAGCCAGTATGGACGAGGTAGTGGGTAATAGACAGGTAGGCACCTTGTCAACATGCACATTAAGCGCAGCCACACCGGGGATATCACACAACAGCCAATCACTTGAAACGACAAAATGAAATAAAATTAAACCAATAATGCATACAGATATGCTGGCATAACTCTTTGCTAAATTAGCATATGAAGTAGGTTGGTTAGCAATGAATCCGCGATAAGGAAAAAATGTCCACGAGTTACTCAAAAATGCTACAAACGCAACAAAATTACCGAAGATAAGCGAAACTAGCGTAAGCTACGTGGCCAGCTAATAGAAGACTATTCAGAGAGGCAAAACTTACCGAATAAAGTGGAATGAAATTTATGCAGCTTAAAGAGACCTAGTTTAAGTGTAAGTTGGTTTAGCCCAACTGCGGTGAAGAAGCATCAAGAATGCAACATCAGCCTCAGCGTGGGACATATATATATATATATATATATATATATATATATATATATATATATATATATATATATATATATATATACCCTCCGAAGATGCTATCTGCAATAGTGCCGCAAATCAACATTGTCGATAAAAGATTGGAAAGCACCGGCCGCTTCGGTTACCATAGGAGTATAGTTTTAACTGATGGCGGATACACACTGAACTGCGTATCCGCGTCATAAAAGAGCTTTGGTATTCGGGAAGTTTCACTACCGAGTGTGGAACAACAATCAGCTTACCGTTGGTATGAATCTGATGGCGTACAAATCCATGGTGCTGTCCGTTCTTCTGCACAGAAGCAAAACTTGGACGATGTACCGCCGGGTTGTGAGATATCTCAAGCTGTTTCATCAACAATGTCTACGACAGATTCTGTGCATCGGTTAGTGCAACAGGGCTGCAGACGCGGTGTTGCACCGAAGTTGAATGTATGCAGTGGACTGAATACTTTTGCTAAGACACTTGAGATGGCTCGGTCATGTGTGGCGTCGGGCTTCGACGCGGATACCGAAACAGCTATTGTATGGTCATCTGAGTGTTTGGAAGCGGCATGCGGGGAAACCGAAGCTTCGTTACGAGGACATGACCAAAGGGAGCATCTCACGTCCTAACCTTGATTTCAGATGTTAGGAATCAAAGGCGGTTGATCGACGTGTATAGCGTGATTTGATCAAGAAGGCCGTTGCCGAGATGTAAGAGAAAGCCCTCGTGCATGCAGAGGAGATGCAGCAAGTACAGAAGCGACAGATGCCATCGACTTCGAGTGCCTGGTACTGTGCACATGCGGTCGCGAGTGCCTGAGTCAGGCAGGCCTAGTGAGCCATGAGCGAGGCCACTCCAGGTAAGCACGGAAACGACTAAGGGTCCTGCTGAGAACGTAAGCATAACCGGCGCAGCATAGGTAGGTACGCTGCATTCGAGTTAGTAACGGTGTGCTTGTGTGCTGAGTTTCTTTATTTCAGTTGGTGTGTTTGTCATATTGTCCTAATGCTTTTCTTTCTCATTTTAATGCCTGCCTCATTAATTTGCTTTTAACTTACATACGTCGCTTAAGCTGATTGTTGTTAACTTCGTGAACATTTTCGAGTACGTGGCATTTGCTTAAACTATATTTTCTGACAGCTTGCACATATCACGGATTTGTTGCTAACCAATTTAATTCATATGCACATTTAACTAAGAGATATCAGTGTGTCTGTATACATTATTCCATTTATTTTAGTTGATGTGGTTGTTTTAAGTGACTGGCTGTTGCTTGATATCCCCGGTGTGGCTGTGATTGATATGCATGTTGACAACTTGCGTACGTGTTTATTACCCACTACCTCGTCTATACTGGCTCTAGGAGACCGTTGGTCGTGGCTGAAGGGGACGGGGTGCACGGTCTTCATGACCGTGCTAGGCTCAAATTGTGTTCCCATCCAGTGTGGAGTGGACTATGGCCCAGCCACCGTCTTGTGTACGCTTGATGCCCCAAACACAACGTGCTCCTGTTTACCTATGAAGATTGTGGGTCGGCTCCATTGGTGAAATGTGGCTCCCATCCACATGCCTCCTGGTCTTATTCCTTCGCGTTTACACTATATATGGGATGTATGGGTGGAACTGCGTATGGTGCAGCCCAAGCCACCACATAGGTGCAGGCGTCTCGTGCCTGTCGTATGGAGGCCACATTGACAGGCAAATCCGGAACTGGAAGCCGGCAACCATATATATGCACTCATGTGTAAATAGCAGAACGCTTGGAAGGCTTAAGTAAAACGTGTCTACAAGACGCTGAAAAAGAAACAGTTCTGGGACTGGATAATGTTGCTATTTACCTGCAGTCAGCAACACAAAATGGACGAAGCCGGACAATTTGCGCTTGCAGCACAACTCCGCATCGACAGATGCATACCCCGCAAAATAGTTAGCATATTTGGCTTCAGAATATCACAAGCATAAACTACTGGTGTCTTAAAAAGTGGAGTTTTCTAAAAACACGTATTTCAGGAAACTGACCAGGAGAAATTGTCACAAATGTCGGAGGTAAGCAGAAACACATCGGAATGCACGGATGAGTGGGTTTCATGCGTGCTCACTCACAACAATTTTCCAGCGATGTTTACCACTAATGGTTGGTAGTACGATGCCACAGTTAATAGCAATAAAGTTGTCTAACGCTAGTGTTCAAACCGTATGAGGTCACGGACAACGCCATTTGCGCTACCAAAGTTTAGCTGTATCACAAACTTAAGTATTCCATACTCTATCTAAAACAAATTCGAGCACAGTCTACCGGCCGGCCGTATGAACTGACGTCGCGGACCGTAGTTTGGTGACCCTTACTCTAGATTATTATTAGTGGATGTAGTGTATGATAAAAGCATCTTTATTATGAGTTCTTGCACATCACAATGCAGTGAATCGCCACGATTTTTTAAGCAAATATGTAAACTTCTACTAAAAACGGGAAAATCACTGGATACATATCTTCTGGTTCTGTTATTTTGCTTGGCTGTCCTAGTGTTTGATTTTTATTATTGGACGATTCTTGAACGAGGTAAGCCTAAAGTATCATGAATGTGCTATAACCTTCTTTGGAAACACAATTGTTCCAATTTACCTTCATAACGCAATCAAAAACCATGAGGTAGAAGGTGAAAGTACTTAGAATCCGTTCCACCTCACTTGCTCTTGACTAATGCTAGTTGTGGCTGGTGACCATGAAAACAGTCAGAAGATCAACGGGTGTATTACATACTGTTGTAGGACTTCTAGGGAGTACCAGGGGCACCACCCACATCACGATTTTTGGCCATTGTGCAAAGGTCAATATAGTACCTAATGGAACAGTTAAAGGGTTGTTGACAAAGGATTACTATCAGAGTTACATATTTTGCTTAATGCTAATGGCCGCACCTCGTACCGACGACGTAGTCACCGAACACGAATTTTGTTCTACTTCTCGATTGAGCATCTGGCAAATTCGCATTGATCAGCGATGTAGAAAAATGCTATTCTTCAAATACTGGATCTGAAAAATGTCTGAAGCGCTCGTGTGACATAGATGGGGAACACTTGATCCGATTTCAAAGGAACCATAGAATAATTTGGCATCACGGGTAAAAAAATGCTTAAATAGCCCCGTGTGTAGATCAACAATGGAACCAAAGGATGAAATACTAGATCATGAACTGAAATGAAGATCCAATACTGATGACCTCCACGTTTAGTTATCCGTTCGACTACGGCTGTGGAGAAACGCATATCTGTCGAACATCGATGCACTTTTCCGAACATGGGAAGGGGCACTGCCCAACTCTGGTACATCAAAGCGGCGCTAGAGCCATTTGCATCCCCGTCGTGGCCCGTATCCTCAACACTGGGTAGCAGGTGGATCTATAGCGTGTCTTCAGAATGGTGTACAAAGATCCCCCCATCAGTCGAAATGGCTCTGCCTTCGTGCAGTTTTGACGACCGAAGCAATTTGTATAAGGTTGTTTCGATCGTCCTTATGCTCATAGAGGAAGCTAGTCCAGGCTCTTCGGGTTCCCTCGACAGCGGAGACGGAATACATTAAGGCTGACTACCATAAGTCAAAATCCGCAACAGGCAGTTGATACCCTAAGGCGTAGTTCGACTTTTCGTCTCTAACACTAACCTTCACGTGATTTATGCAACTTAAACTAGCAGGATCGATTTTAAGTAATTACATCTGATCTGAGGATTAATAATTGAGAGCAACTGTTCACCAAATGACCTATAGTTTGCGAAAACGAAAAGCTTTTGATAAGCCCAACATAATTTCACCTCGCTGCTGTGAATTGCCGGTTGCTGCGCCAGCTGTGTCATCTTGTCATCTCCCGATGTACACAAGCTATTTTTTCATAATATAAAAGGGTTTAGGTTACGTCAGTGCGCTTTTTAAACACTAATTTTGTGGGTGCGAAAATCATGTAGTTATGGAGGACGTTCCATGGTTGACAGACCCTGATGGAATAAAAGTTTCAGTGACGTTCTATCCGGCTGCTTTGCGTAGCCAAATTTAAATGGTGGTCTTTCAAATTCCTGTCGTGACTGTTGTAGAAGCAGCTACCACTACATGTTTGTGACCAGGGAGATTTACGCAATCTTATCTCATGATTACTGAGTTCATACCGAGGCCCATTTAATCAACTGAATTAAATCCCTCTGTAGCGCTCTAAGCTTAGCCTTCAGGACGAGCGTTAATGCTCCGAGTTTCTCTTCCGACTGTCCATACTGCTTTGTACGTTATTTTGACAGAATTCGATGAATGCAAAACGCTCAAGCATGGATGTTCACATACCTGTATCAATACCTTGGGCGGCTATCGATGCCAATGCGAGATCGGTTACGAATTGCATCCGGATGGGAAACGGTGTGAAGGTAAGTTTTTGACTTTTCAGTACGGGTACTAATGCAACGCACCTTACTTTCTACCAAGGAAAGTAGGTTCAAAAACTGTATCCTTAGAAGCCTGTTCCAGAGTAACGTAACAAAAGTGTTTGCAATTGAATTATCTCTTTTGCAAACTCGCTGATGCCACTAATCCGTGCCATTTTTTTTATCGATTTTTGTACTTACCTAGCACAAGTCCATCGCCATTAATCAAACAAATATCTGAAGAAGAGACAGAGGGAATCTCGTATGCGGGTTGTCTATGAACCGTTGCGTGGAATAGTTAACGTTCGGTTACATGACGCAAGCGCTTAACCACGTGAATTGTCATCATATATCATATTATCCGCATAGAACGAGATGACGCAATACCTATAGACAGAATTTTGTCAGTCAGAAAAGCGCGTAAAAGCTTGCAATTATTACCCGTTACAGGGTGTGTTAAGAGACAGAGATGAGCACACGGTACGATGTAGGAACAGAAATTTCATTTGACCAGCTATTATATGGCAATGTACTTTCAACATTTGTCAGTTTGTAAATGTCTTCTGAAATCTTCAGTCGCAACGGACATAAGGGCAATGCACAATCTTCATGCAACTACAGCTGGTGGAAATAGATATATTTCTCTCTACCATAAATATCGCATTGCTGTAGATACTGTCAAAACTTAATTAAAATATGCATACCAACTTGCTGAGGTTGTTGTATTAACCTGAAGTGAAGGGGTACTATGAGCTTAAAGGCAGTTACGGGTGGAGTTAAGTTGCCATGGATGTGAGGGGCGAGTGAAGCTTTTCCAGTTCGTGTGCTTGCAATTTTAATCTCACTCACTAACATGGCTATCTCAATTCGTTTTCTCATTGTGTATTAAAGAGATGTGAAATGAATGCATTTTTCAAAATCAATTTCTACCCGCTGCCTTTTAAACTGCTGCGGGGGATTATTTGTTCCAGAATTTTATGTATCCAAACTTGAAGCATAGCATCGGTGTTGTTGATCCCAGTGCCTTGAAAGTTATCCCACATACACAACGCAAAGAAAAAGATTATCCATTCAACTTGAAAGTGCTATCATTGCACCTTGGTTGTATTGACGGATATCTACTGAGTGTTGGTTAAGGTTTTCATAGAATATGGTGATTTCCGTTTAATGTAAAAACCTACTGCTAAATTTATGTCTCCATAAATAATTGCTGATTAAAATTTATTCATTGTCAAATCTCGTAAAAGGTCCATAAACAATAATTTTGTCTAAATAGAGCAACAAATAAGACGCATGCTTGTCCCAAAATAGATTTGAAGCTAAGTTATCGAAGATCTTCTAAGTAGCGCAAAACTCTATGGAGCCTGAGGTATATGCACGAAATTTTCCTTGTACCAATGCTATAGTGAACATATATCATGTTCATGCACACTTTTTTCCTTGCAGATGCTTGCGGCGGCGTGATCAATGAGTCGAACGGTACGATTCAGACGCCATCCTTTCCTGATTTATATCCGCCGAACAAAAATTGCATTTGGAAGATTCTGGCCCCACCAAAGTCAACAATATTTCTCAACTTCACGCATTTCAACTTGGAAGGGCGGAATGTGAGTGCACCGAGCTGTAGACAGTTTAAGTTTACTTGTTTCTCTGAACTGACTGAACAAACACGTGTATTTTAAGTTGAGACTAAATGCCTTTCTCTCTCTTAACCAGGATTCAACGGTGACGTGTAGAGTAAAAGGTTGCCTGCGAGGATTTCCGATGCGTTGCAAGTAATAATAAGGTTGATTAGACCATCTTCAGGATAGAGATGTCAATAATATATTTTTGCATATTTTCATCGACGGCATCCTGTTTGATGCGTTTCGGCAACCATAAGGAGTAGACACTATATTTTGGGAATATTAAACAACGGATAAAATATCCCAGGAGTAGACATCAGGACAAATGTTAGCGAACAAGCTCGTTTTCGGTGGTTCATCATGAAGCTAATGCACCACGAATGACGGGCATAAAGGTAAACAACAGATAAGTACAAAACTTCAAAGGTTAAAACGGTCTGTGACCAAGCTAGGTGATTGGTCCCACAGCGATCGTTGGTGTGTGTGTGTGTGGTGTTATCCACACCTAGTGTTAGCGCTATGGAGGCCAGGGTAAAGGCCCTGACAATTTTCTTTGCGCATATAGATCAGGGTTATGGAAGTGAATGGCAATCTGTTCGGCCGCTGCCAGTAGGTTACATCTAACTGCTCGTGTGCGTCAAGTGGGGAGGCGGTAAACTTTGACGCTTTGACGCTTCGTAAACGTTGACCTGTTACTTCGAATCAACTAAATGCGCAGACAGTGTTAACCACTGCTTTAGTCACCCAGCTATACACTTAAGCTGGGCGCTGCTCCCGGGCTCTCTCGGACAGTCTCCCGGTAGTTCTTGCGATATATATTGATCGACACGAACAAGAGAATGAGTATGCACAGAATGAAGTACTTGACCTCTAGATCCTGTTCTTAAGTTGCTGTCAGAATTGGTACTGGACTGAAGCTTAGCCTTAAGTCTGCCGCGTAATAGGTTTGACTGATGGCCTCCGAAAGATTTCTGTATGTGGATTCCGCTATTCCGTCCGCTTTGAATGATAGCGAAAAGTAGAACGTCTTCTTTTACACTGAAAATAATTTTGTCTTCGTTTCTCCAGCCTCCATATTTCTCCGAACGAAGTTCCCTGGATAGCCATTTCTCTCGAATAGGCTTTGTATAAAGTTTAACTCTTCCGGGAGGGTGTCATCGCTGCATGTCTTTCTGTGTATACTCATTCTATTGTTCTTGTCGATCAATATATATCGCAAGAACTATCAAGAAACTGTCCGAGAGAGCCCGGGAGCATTGCCCAGCTTGGCTGTATAGCTGGGTGACTAAAGCACTGGCAAGCGTATTGTCCGCGCATTTAGTTGATTCGAACTAACAGGTCAAAGTGTACGAAGTATTCCATCCTATCTACAGTGTACCGGCATGACGCACACGAGCAGTTAGATGTAACCTACTGGCAGCGGCCGAGCAGATTGTCATTCACCTCCATAACCCTGATCTATATGCGCAAAGAAAGTTGTCAGGGCCTTAACTCTACCCTGGCCGCCATAGCGCTGACACTAGGTGTGGATAACACCACACACACACACCAACGATCGCTGTGGGACCAATCACCTAGCTTGGTCACTCAGACCGTTTTAACCTCTGAACTTGTACCCTTATCTGTTGTTTACCTTTTTGCTCGTTATTTGTGGTGAATTAGCCTGATGATGAACCGATGAAAACGATCTTGTTCCCTATCATATGTCCTGAATATTAACCAAACGCGCCATCATGATTTCAATGGCTAAACTTAGTTTTTAACAGTACTTTGTCACATTTACCCACAATTACACAGCTATCGCTCCCCTGGCAAAGCACTGTAGGAGCGTTTCATTCCCTGTGGGGCGATAACCCATAGTTCAAGTGATACAAGTTGGTTGTTAAGGCAACTGGGATATGTTGAATGGCAACGACCGATGTGACTTAGTTACTAGCCTCACAGCGGCCAGATGAAATGACCATCACTGTCGCTTCCAGAAAGGAAGAATCAGCTATACATTTCATTTCCGGGTGTAGGCTGGCTACTCGACTAAGTCTAGAAGTAATGCCCTTTAACTCATACCATTCAACTCCCACTACTACTTCCCTATAATTAGTACACGTACAAAATGAGTATAAGGCAATAACTTAATTGTTGGCATAAATTTGGTTTGTTCGTAGCTTGGTGAGTGGGCTACTCAGTCCGCTGCAAGGCAATACATTGCAAATCGGTGGATTATGAGCTGTGCTACATCACATCTGGCAACTTGGGCACTTCGGTTGCCACCGTCCTCCTAGTTCAGCTGTGCTTTTACAACATACTGATAGCAGTCGGGTTTCGTATTCTAGCCTGAGATGGAATGCGCACTGCTGACGATGCCCGAACTGATGAAACAATTGTACGAGGCTTTTCCGCATGTGTGATTGCTCTTTGAACGAGATATAATGATCACAGCCTGTGCCATTTAAATCGGCTTACCACTCTTTTGTGGTAGTTTTTTTATTTTACTGGATGTGGATGATGCGTTTATAGTAACGGATCTCAGCATAAAGCCGTTTATAGACACAACGCACTCTGAACTGAGAATTCTAAAGCTTCTGCCCACTTAAAGCAAAAGTCTCAGTAGGAAGACGAAGCAGTGATGCCTTATGAGTATAAAAGTTAGGGCTTAGCAACTCACGTAGAAACGCAATTTTAAAATAACCATCGCCAGTGAAGTAGACCGAACACTGTGGACGCACAATGACACACATTTAAATATTGGCAACTCAACTTAATGGTGTGAGTACAGCCTTTTCTATTGTGCCATTGCCCGACGAAGGTATATGTTCCCATGTAACGTTAAATAGCTTATACAGGTTCCAGTAATATGGGTTCATAAATGACGAAGTCTAAAATGTGTTCCATCATCAACACATTCAGAGGTGAAAAAAGCCCAGTGACATTCCAGTCGGCCATATTAGTAGCCAAATATATCCGGTGACCCCCACCCAAGTGCGTGTAGTGGCCGAGTTATCAGGAGTAGCGGCGTACGTGACTGGGGTTCGTTAATACCTGGTTGGTAAATATTAGGTCACTTGGTAGACACAGATGTGATGCGCGGTGCAGTCCCGATGTGTAAACTTTAGGTTGCTACGAAAAACTGGATAAGCTCTTAGTCTTGTTGGTTACTCTTCTGTGAAGTCCTTATTGAAACGTCCTGCTTTCACTGGTGCTGACAGACTTGGATGTGGTATTTTACACCAGGCGTTTGGCAGCAGCTTGCATTCGCGGTAAGATGGCAATGTCAAACAGCCAGGGGCTATGCGATGGAGTTCAACCTGTTGGTTATCATTTGCCTAGCGACTGAAGAATTACTTAGGAAGAACGAAGCCAAAAGAGCAATTACCCCAAAGTAATCCTACAGGAATACTCTCCACAGAAATAGCCACTAAGCATATAGGTGTTATTCAGTTAATGAATGAAGTGGAGCACTATGTGGAGGGTTCGGTGTGGCTCTCTCCCATCCCTGCACTCCACGACTGACGGTTTCGTCTTTGTTTAAGCTCATCAGCTAGAGATAACCGAGCTGTGATTGGAACTCGTCGCATAGTGTGTGGCGGCTATCGCCATGATCACTAGGCCATTGAGCTCCGCGAGCAGTGCTTGACACAGCGGTTAGAAGTTGATTTTCGGGTTTTGGAGCACCTGCCGTGTGTCTTGGATTGCGACACGCAATCTCAATCGTGGCCTCGGTTGACTTTGAAGTCAGCCTCTGCCAATGCGGTCACTAGGACCGTCACTCAAGTGGAGAGTTTCGGTGTGGCTCTCTCCCATCCCTGCCCTCCAGGAGCGACGGAGCACTTTCTGTCTATTCACCCAAACACAACCACATTCTTTGTGACCTCCTGTTATTACTTACAGATCAGGCTGTATCACGCGGTGGTCTTCTTTACTATAGAGCACTGACCATATCTTGGCAATATCGGCAAACTCTGGATTTAGCATAGAGTGAACGAGGGCTAAGTGCGGACCTAATACTCGACTCGGTGAAACATTGCATTCTCCCTTAGTCGCAGCAGATATTGAGCTCCGAACGTGTATCTGCAATCGCAAATAAGAGGGTAGTTGCAACCTACTCATTAAGAGAATTCATACTTTATAGGCTTCTCAACTTGCGAAGGTAAAAACGGGAAGGTAGGCCGTCGAAGACCTTAGAAAAGTTAAGGCAAATGACACCGATTTCGCTTCCGCTACGCGTCATCTGAGCTCAAATAGCCCCGTGCTGTCATGTGGTTGGTAGCATAGTACCAATGTTGAAGGAAGCAGCTTTTTCTCTCTCCATGACGCAAGATCCTTTTAAGTTGTCCATTGGGAACTCAGCGATGATAATTTTCAATGCTTTTGGAAACGCCTACTGGTGGATCCCTAAGTGACACTTGGGGTTTCTGTACATGCATCTTCATTAAAAGTTCGGGTAATTTCACACTGCTTCCACAGTTCAGCCACTGCTCCTCATCAAGTAGCTTTTAGAATAGCAATAAGCTTTTGTCACCTTCGCACATATGCCCCTAGTTTCTTCACAATAACGTCTCCGCCTCCTGAATAGCTAGTTCGCACAATATAGTAGCTGAAATAACTGCTGCTTGGGTCATTTTGGCACCTGGGATGGAGTCAAACACGTAACATGAGTTGGTAATATGTCTGGAGGTTGTGGCACTTTGCAACCGTTTCGTTGGCATTTTGCTCGGTTAAGCTTCAATAGGCTGAGCCTTCAACCCTATGCACTATTCCTGGCATGTGTTTTTCAGAGCTTTACGCTGCAATATGGTCTATGGTAAATGGTTGCGGAAACTGAACTGCCCCCACCAGGGGAGTTTGCTCAGATGAACATATAGTGACAGAAATGGGTAGCTGAATACGAACTCGGTGTAGAATTTTAATGATTGTTCACATCGGGAACGGTTATTCAGGCCACAGTGATTCGCAAAACGGTCATGGGCTGCCTCGATCATTAGAGC